TCTGTATCTAAACTCGTCGCTACCAGATCATCTCCTGAAATACCACACTGGAAGATGTGCCAGGCACATCAGCTTTTCCATCAGCTTCTCCCTGCCAGATGGATTCTTGCTTATATCAGTACAAGTATCTTCCTTTAGAGCTTTCAAAATATGTAGAATGAGGTTACTTAAAATCTACAACTTTGAAAAAGCTTTTCACAAAAACCCCAATAATCCTTATAACCAGGTATGAAAATAAACAACCATTTTCTCCTCATCTCTTTATAGATTCTGACCAAACAACTACATCCTTTTCGAGGGAATACAGAGCCCAATAACAAATTCGATTAAACTCCAACCTTTCAGAAAGAAAACTAACTTGGAGGTAGATTTACTAGCTCTATAGAGAAAACCACTTTGAAAGGAACTCCCAGCAAGCTGTAGTTCCACTGCAGCTTAAAAGCAATGGCTTCTGCAGATCAGCCACCACACACAATCCAGGATTCTTTCCTTAGTTTCTGCTGCTGGGTACCAACATATCCTTATTGGAGTGATACAGCTCTGAAGCTACTGAAAAGTGATTCCTTTTATACAACTGCATGAGGAGGCATTGTACCTTGGAAATGGATGAAAAAGAAAACACTCAAGAGTCCTACTCATCTCAATGGGACTTTACGGCTTCTTAAGGGAAGGAGTCAAAGCACCAATTAAGTGAATCACTGTCCGAAACACTTACCAGAGTGCAAAAAGGAAGTATGAGAACATACAAAATAAATGGGGACTTCCCAGAATTTTCTTCTGATTTTCCACAAGCTTTGATATCAGTATTAGGACGAGGGGAATGCATCTCAGCAAGAGACTATACAACATCTAATCTACAGAAACACCACTTCAAGCTCTTGCCAGCCACAATGAACTATACGAAGGCTTCATCTTCCCCATTTGAAGATGAACTCTTACAGCAACAGGACAGTATTAGGCACAGAGCATGCTTGCAACGAAGGGCTCATTTCTACGGAAGCAATAGACCATCTGCTTAGCTTTGCTACTGCTTAACATGTTCGACAACTAGCAATCTTAAAGAAACAACTCTAATTTAAAAAGATTTTCTAGATGGTTTGAACACATTTTCTGACTTAATGGACTTTACAAAAAAACATGGTACAACACAAAAGGACAATTCTGCTACTACTGGAAATTACTGTGACAAGATGATCTGTTCCTCTACCCCCGCCAAGTGAGAGCTGTTCAAAAGAAGAATCCTTCTGCTCTTTTAAGCAGATTTCTTAAAGAACTTCAGCCCAGTCAAATGAAAACTATCCCGGTAGCGTTGTCTGAGAAAATAGGGTCACAACGCCACAGTTACAAGCAAAATTGTTACAGGAAAGGAGTCTGGTAGTGAACAGAGAAGAGATGTGTACAGTAGCCTGGAAGAGAGGTTTCCTGAGAGCTTTCCATATGATCTCAGCCAAGTCAAAATCACGAAGCAGGCACTCTAAATAAACCTGAATATGCAAACTGCACCATCACGGCCAACAAAGAACTCAAATCCTTGCTATAGGAAGTTGTTGTATCTCTAATTCACAAAACTTTCTCAGGGACTACTCTACTCTCTATTCTAGGCTATCAAGAACATGCTGTATGCTCCCAAGAGAACACGACTACGACTAACAGCTACTGTTTAACTTGTATTGACAGGTTGCTTCTTCCGCAGGATCATATGAAATCTAAGAAATCCTTTACTCATGTCTCTACAGACCAAGGAAGTATTTTGCTTTAATCTCTCCCTGCCTGTGGAAAAACATTTGTCTTGATGTCAGCGCTTACAGCCCTCTGACATGGACAATCAGTTGGTCTTCATCCCCTTTTACATGGGTTAGGGGTAAGGTTTATCTGCCACCTTTGGTCTATGCAAGCACGTGCATCATCAGCTTGAGTTACCAAGCTCATTTCTGGCGTACTTTTCATTCTTTCCAGAGCTGCCTTAAAATGGCAAGTCCAGCTCAAAATTAACAATATTGGCTTATGATGGTCCAGATGAAATAAATCCCAGTTATTTCTGAGGGCAGGTGAAGAAATCAGATCTGGATTTCTTTTTTCTTCTTTTTGCCTTACTAAAGAGAATGCTTAAAAAACCCCAAACATACCACAAGAATGAAAAACAGAAAAAGCAATGTTTAATCATTTAGTGAAAAAGGTTTAGAACAAAACCATCAAGGAATCAAGGTCTTGCCCAGCAAAACTGGTCCTGAACCATAAAGGGTCATGAGTGCTACATGGTGCCTATAAACACACTGAATTAGAGAAAAATGGGTGTCTGAGCCGTACTTGAGTGACGTTAATCAGTGATGCACCATCACTTATTTTAAACATATGAGAAAAATCTTGTTTTAAAAAGTTATTTTACTTCCACCCCCCGCCCTGCATTTGTATTTCACGCCTCATTCTTTCCCTTAGGATATACTGCTACAGCCAGCACCTACAGAATTTGCTTCCAGTCTCGATACAGTTCTTCAAGCAGGATGGCAGCTACATTTTAAGCTGTTCAGTCAAGTTAGGCACATTCACTATTAGGTAGATCAGCTGCCTCACCACTTTTATTGCTGCGTTTCAAATCTTTTAAGCTGTATACACTAAGTGGTAAACATCAGGACACATGAGATGAAAAACCAACTAACCCACATTCTCCTTCAGCAGAAATTTCAGTTTCAGAAGAACAAACTCACTGAAGTGTTTCTTTACTTTTCTTAAAAGCTTTCATGACAACTGGAGCATCAATAAAGGAAAAAGCTAACACACAGTCATGGTTGATAATCCTAGTAGAACAATAAACTGGGGGATGGGAAGAGACTGTAAAAAGATGCCAATCCTCAAATGCCTACTGAGGAAAATGGCAAAAATAGAGAATACTTCTGCTTATCAGAAGAAAAGTCAGGGAGAAAGTAATTTGTTCCAAAATAGAAACACAAAATAGTTGTGTAAAATGTTGAGCTCATTTGCTCTCTTACTGAAAGAAAATTAAAAGTAAAACTTCTTAAAAAAAAAAAAAACCACAATGCTTTTAAGCTTCATCTTGTTCAACAAGAGATGGAGCCCCGGAAAATACCAATTTTTCTAGAAGTTGGCCAAGTTTTTAAAACTGTTTTCTCTTAAGTGCTAGCACCTTCACAGAAGCACCAGTTTATCATTCACACTCTGTTATTAAACAGCCCTACTTTTTCAGTTTCTCTAATCCACTGTGTGCATAAGGACTTCGGAAAGCAGTAGTTTTGCTCTAATCTTTTGGAAATACATCACCAGTGCTGAGCACAGCACTGCATATGAGGACAAACTAACAACTTCTGTATCAGGGATACTTCTACTATTCTTCTCCAGTTTATTCCGTGTTCAGATTAATTTTTACTTTACTTCTTGAACATACTCTGAGAAAGTTGAGGTTGCCTTCTCGAGCTGATGAATCCCATTTGCAGCTGGCATTAGGCCAAGACTAAAGTCCTGGGAAAACAGGATTTTCCCGAGTGCTGGCCTACTCCTTACCAACGGTGGGTTTGTTTAAAAGAAACCAAGACATCACAGAACCTCCCCCACCAGGTTCATACATACTCTGTCAGACGAAGACCTAAGGCAAGTCCCTTTGCCTTGGGGTAATTCTACTTGAGTTGTTCACATACAAAATCAGTATTTTTACCACGTAACTGTATAGTGGCTAGAAATAAATCTACTCCTAAGAACTTAGGCATCCATAAGTTTAGAGAAATAAGCCAGATAATAATAATTTGTCATTCTTCCCACAAATTTCCAAGAAAAACAAGTGAAAGATAAGCTGAATTTCTCTCTGTGCAGACCAATCTGCTCCATACGCCAATTTTAGCCAATCTGAAGGCTGGAGACAGCTGTATCTACTTTCACATGCTATGACCTTCACTCAGACCACAAGCATCTCTTCCTTAAGCAAAGGGATCCCTTTCACTGCAGAGAGAATGCTTTTTATGTTTTTGATTTTAAAAAAATTACAATTAACTATACAGTACTCCTCAATGATGTCAGCATTTCTTCAGAGAACATGACATATACTTTTACGTCAGGCAATGCATTTTTCTCCACAATTCCTACACATCAATGAAACAACATTTATGTGTTAATAAACTACAATGACAATGACTAGTGATGCGCAAATAGATAAAATAGGTAGAAAAAGATAATTCTTTCTCTATCAGAACATGGTGAGTTTGCCATCAAAATTTCAAGAAGGAACTGTACCAAAGCAACAGAGACAAGAGATGAGCACTGAAAGACAGGAGGGACAACCACCAAAACACCTCTCTAAGCTCACACCTGGAAAATTAAGAGCTAAAAAGCAATGACTACATCAAGCAGGGACCAGAGCAGTGCCCCAAGAGAGGGGCATATACTTCCAGGTGTATATATTCCCTACCCAGATCTGTAATGGCCACCAAATTAAGACTTCTTGCCCTGACACAGCCCTTCCCTTTCACAGAGCGTGCATTAGCTTGACAATCTATGTGAAATTCAATGTTTTCAGAGGAGTTCCTCTGTATTTGAAAAACATTCACTGCACAGCTGTTGACAGTGGTCCCTGACAACAGGCCCAATCACTACACCTCTCCCTTCAATCTACAAATACTTCTCTAACAGCTTCCACATTGCTTTAGAAGATACTGTTATCTGGCAGCTAAATTGAGATCCTGCACAGAAGCAATCATCTGCTTCCTTTCTGCAGGATTACGCTACTCTTTTCTAATTCACCCCGCTAAGATACTACTCAAATTTTCACGTCAAGGATGTGTTTTTCAACAAGTGCTTTCATTTCTGATTACATGAGAAATACTGTTTCAATTACCGTGCTTTCATGGTATCAGTGGTGACTGAAACAGATAAATACAGACTCAAGAAAACGCATTCTTTAGTTCGTCAGAAAAGAATCTACTACATTTTCTAAACACCTGTATAGAGAAAAAATAAGTGCAATAAATAGAATATATTAAATCATAAGTACATACTTTAGTCATTGCTCCTGTCTGTGCTGTATTCAGTCCGGTGTGACCAGCCATCTGTGGAGATACTTGGGTTAAAGTCTCTGCCAGCACACTGCCTGCATTCCCCTGCATGGCAGGGGCAGAATATTGCATTCCTGCTCCCCTTCCTCTTCCAGCTGCCCCAAGAGATCCATTCATTACCTGCCCTTGTCCTTGCTGAGGCTGATTCATTAAACTGTGACCAGAATTACTGTTGAGAAGGCTCTGGTGTGTCTGACTGAAATTAGTATTCATACATATCCCAGATCCAGTCTGTGATGTTGCAGGGCTGCTCGTCACCATCCCCACTTGTTTTTGTGCTTGAGAGTTCAGAGTTTGTGATGCAGGTGTGGTAGGTCCAGAGGTGCTTGCTGCTTGCTTTGCCAGGCCTGAAGCAGAAGAGTCTCCCTGGTTTAAAGGGCTCTTACCCATAGCACCCAGATTACCAATATTAGCACTGTTCGGCTGCCCTTGAACTTGACTACCAACTCCCTGCTGGACAGGGCTATTTGAGTTCACATTTCCAATTCCTGGGTTTAAGGAAGAGCTGCTGCCTCCCCTCAGAAGCTCAGAAAGTTGTTTGTGTTTGGAAGCTGCATCTGGAACAAGGTTCCCACTGCTGTTTAAAAGGCCCAACTCGCCATTGGGGATCAGCTCATCAGGAAGATCGTTTTCCAAGTCAAACAAAGATCCAAAATCTACAAGTTAAAACAGAAACACAGGTGAGAAAAACATGACAAACAAGCAACTAGAACAATCTGCACAACTTCGTACTAGTCTTAGAAAATGACACGCATTAAGGTGCATCTTTACCCAAGGCTCAACATTGCCAGCAAGCAAGCGAGGGTCCCCACGACATGAACTCCAGAGCCTTTCAGAAAGTGCAGTCATTGGTACATACGTTGCACAGAAACCACACAGGGTACAGCACTGGCCAATACATAGTTTTTTTCACAGGACTCTTGATAAAACATTGTACCAAGCTTATGAAACTAAGGTGGCATGAATACAATGATCTAACCTAATTTATCTTGTTTTGGCTAAAAGAAGGCGTCAGAAATATCAAGAGATGTTTTTTCCCATTGATTTACCCTCCCAAAAGAGTGATTACATCACCTTCTCTGACCTCCTATGTAATCCTAAACCACTGCATTTCACCCAGCAATCCCACCTCAATCTTGTAATCTATGTTTGTGCATGGCAAAAGAATGCTTTCCAGCTAGGCCTCGAAGCCTGGTCAAAAGAAACCACTTCTGCAGCAGTTTGATCCCAGTCTTGCATATAAACGTGTTCACTATCAGTCTCTAGTCATTGATTTGTATCATGATCCACCACCTCAAAGATCCCAAAAGGCATTCAGCATTTACTCCTTGTAATGCCTCTCGAATCAAGTCACTTCTCAATCCCTGAATGGTTCAAATAATTCCAATTGTTCCCCAAGTGCCCAGCCCTCATTTATCATGCCCAATATTGACAGAGGTAATCCACACACTCTCCAGATGAGCAAAATAAATCAATCAAATCTTCATTAAGCCACTGGAAGGAACTGCTCTGCCTGGCTGGAACATCCAGATGGAAAAAAAGTGGTAGGGTTTTGTCATTTTGTTTTTTATAAAGGGGCAACTCAGGTCCACTAAAATATTTTATTACACTTCACAAGCAGTGTCTGTATAATGTTAATTTGGTACATAACTAAAACTAGAAAGTTACCTGATGTATATAGGTACTTCCATGTGATAATAAAAGTTATTTATTTGAAGACATAAGGACAAGTGCATACAGCAGTATTAACAAACATGTAAGCAGCCTAGCCTCAATTCATCAGAGCAGATGTCCAAACATGCAGCACATCAGAAGTTTTCCAGTCCACAGATATGATCTAAAACAACCACTTTTTACTGTAAAGTAACAGAAATGCGTGAAAACTTTCTTTTGCCCCCACAAAGCCAGCCCTGAAAAACCCTAGTCCCTCACAGAGAGCAACAGACAAACCAATTTTTCTCTAGGTTAGGGCAAACAAAAGTTCTTTTCTAAAGAAGGGCATCCCGAAAGCTTCATTGTTTCAAAGTTTAATTCACTCTTCAACCACAAAAAGTTGGTGCAAGAGTCAGGTGGTGAAAGTGGCACAAGATCGTTCAGCAGGTGACGGCCTGGACCACCCTAACTGCATTGAAGAGAAGCAAAAATCAAACAAACACCATGTAACCTGTATCACAAGGCTAACATGCATTACCAACGTATCTCAGCACATGTAAATATATTTCATCAGCATTTGAATTTTCAATTCAACCTAACTGAAAAAAAAAAAAAATCAAAAATTTTCAGATATGTCAATGTCCAGTGAATTACATACACAAAAATGTTAAATTCTGCCTCTTTTGAGGTGCTGGCACCAGCATGTCCTTCAGGGGCCTACATCTTGCCACCAGTACCTACTGAAAGCAATAAGCTCTGAAGAACCCTTCCAGGCTTGCACGATGTTGGCTGTGACAAAATACGCCACAGCTCAGGGACAGATCTCCTGCTCCCTTTCAAGCAGGGAAGTAACAAACTAACATCATCATTAGCCAGGTTCATTAAAGTATTTTTAATTCCTCTCTTACTTGCTGCCTTTCCCTTCAGTCATTTAGTTCACCTTTTCAGCTTGTCTTTCACAGAAATTCCTGGTGTACCTTCAACTACATTTGTTCAGCCAATCGCTTCACCTCTCCTCCTCTTGACACCCACCAGGCTGCAGTCTGTGTCTCTTCCCATATATTTGTGTTCTACCTTCCTTCTCCCAAGATTTCACGATTTTTAAACTTCCATCCATCTCTAACCCGCCTCTGACAAAAACCCCATCGCCTGTTTTCACCGCCGAGCCCCGTTTGGCTACAAGCGAATCCCCAGTGCCCGGGTCCCCGCAGCACAGCCCCTCTCCCCAGCAGGCTCTGCCACAGACGGGGGCTGCAGCCCGGAGCACAACCAAAGCCATCTGCCTGCGCGTCACGAAGGGTGGTGACACAGGGTCTGTGGCTGAGGCTTCGCCTTTGTTAAACTGCTCCCATCACCCCAGCTCCCTGCGAAGTTCAAGGTTTACATCACTTGTTCAGACAACTTTTGTAAATCCCGTGAAACGGTGTTTTTCCAAGCTTCTGCACCAAAATTGTTAATATTTCATGAACAAAAGATGCGTGCGCACACAGGGCCAGGGGCAGAAGTGACAAAACGTGGAGGGGAAAGATGTTGCTGTGGCTTAAAAAAAAAAAAAGGGTTTTTTTTTTCCAGTTCTATTTCAAAATGGGATGCTGGATTAAGTGCTCAATTTTTTTTGTTTGGCTGGCTGGACTCTTAACAGTCTTGCCAGAGCAAGGACTGGAAATGTTTTTGCAGTGTACAAAAGAGTGAAGAAAGCGTTTGGTAGTATTGCCTCTTAAAACCTAAAACAAACTACCACTCTTGAGCTCCTGTAAGCAAGCTATACATTAAGGTCAGGCATGGAAACTTTGCCAGCAGGAAAATAAAAAGCAGGTACACAGCTTAGCAGAGTGGCTGTGTAAAAATTCACTGAGTATTCAGATGTTCAGGCAATGATTAATCTTCCTGCTTTTCTATTTTTAATCAGTCTCGTGTACGTTAAAAACACCAACACAAGACACATTTTACAACAGTCATAAAATACAACAGAAAACAAAAGTCTACTTGAGCATGTCTGCAACAAATCCATAAAGATAAGAGATTGTCTGGGCAGTTATAAAAATAATAAATATATTTATACACATATAAAAATCTGCCATAAGAACGCGGCCCATTTCTACTGGTAGCAAAATGAAAAGTAACCTCAGTTCCTGCAGCCTAACAAGAACAACACGACTGATCCCATTCTCAATGCTTCAACTGTTTCCCAAAGTCAATGGCAGCTACCAAGAGTCTTAAAATCCGAGAGACACCTTTGCCTTTACACACAGCTATCTGAAGCAATGCTCAAAAAACACCTACCCTGAGGAGTCCCACTCCCATCGCCAAGCTTTGCACCTGCTCTGTCTCTCAAACCTGCCGCTTACCCAGCACGCCATGGAACAGAAAAAGCCGTCGTTATTTTAACGGAGGAGATAGACAGATAGATAGACAGACAGACAGATAGATAGATATTCCCTTAACTCTAAGGCACACACGCCTGACTTCAGGGCTCGGGAAGCAGCAGAGCTGACTAAGGCTGCGGAGAGCCACCTCGCAGCATCTCGGCTGTAACACAGCACTTCCCATCCCAAACCTCCCGTCTTTCATTACTTCGGTTACATAAAACCAAATGTCCTCTTAACAGGAGAGAGCAAAAAAGCAGAGATAACATATCTTTCGGAAGG